ATCCCCAGTACCAAAAAGAGAGAAAGAGAGAGAGAGAGAAACAAACAAAACTACTAAGAATCCTATATTCAGAAAAATATCAAAGACAGGGAGCAATTAAAACATTTTCAGATAAACAAAGCTGAGGGAGTCTTACCAGTGGACCTGTTCTGCAAGAATGTTCAAGGAATTAATTATGCTCCCACAGTTACAGTTGCTACTGCAAAAATGGACACAAGAAGGTGGTGGGAAAGGATGTCTTGGGGGGGAAAAGTCCAAACAAAAGGGAAAACAAACTTAAGTGGCTAACCAAGAAACTAAAAAAGATTCACTTGCAGAAAAGAGAGAAACTAAAAACAAGGAGAGTCCAATCTCTGATGAAGCGGAAGAGAAAGAAGCCAAGTCTGATTAATCATATACCATGTCTTAGTCTCCATTCTCATACAATCCAGAGGAAGATTTTTACAACTATTTTATAAATGCAAATTTTTAGTAGCACTAAACATTATATATATATATATATATATATATATATATATACACATACACACACACACACACACACACACACATTTATTTTTATTTTTATTTATTTTTGGTACCAGGAATTGAACCCAGGGGTGCTTAACCACTGAGCCACATCCTCAGCCCTTTTTTTATTTTACTCTGAGACAGGATCTTAATAAGTTGCTTAGGGCATCACTAAATTGCTGAGATTGGCTTTGAACTTGCACTCTTCCTGCCTCAATCTCCCAAACTGCTAAGATTACAGGCATGTACCACCATGTCCAGTTATTTTTTTTAATATGCTGTGAAAGATAGAAAATTTGAGTATGTAGTATATATGACAAAATTGTGAATTGGTGAGACCTATGTAACAGCTTAGTAGCATTTGAGATATTGGTACTTGTAAGTCCTCTCAAGGAAAATTTACCTCCAAATTTGAAGCTGGAAAGTCAATGAAATAACTGAAAAAGAATCATGGCATAAGGCTTTTCAGATTTGGGTACATGCATTAAGAACTGTGTACAAGTGAAATATATGGGTGCTGATCCTCAATACAACCAATAAAATCTCAATTACAAGAAAAAAATATATGACACAAAAACTGACAGAATTGAAAGAAGAATAAAAATGATTTTGCAACTATAGTTTTGGAGACTTCCATAGTACTCCACTATTAATAATAGGTACAAGAAGCAGACAAAAGATAAGTAAGGAAACAGAGGACTTAATACAACAAAGCAACTAGATCTGACAGATACATATAGAATACTCTATTCAACAGCATCAGCATACACATTTTTCTAGAATACACAGGAGCATTTCCAGGTCAGACCATAGGTTCAGCCACAAATTAAGCCTCTAAAGATTATTACAAGATACAAAGGATCTTCTCCAACCACAATAGAATGAAGTTAGAAATTAATAATAGGGCCAGGCAACACACCTATAATCCCAGCAAATCAGGAGGCTGAGGCATGAGGACAACAAGTTCAAAGTCAGCCTCAGCAACTTAGCCCTAAACAACTTAGCAAGACCCTATCTCAAAAAAAAAAAAAAAAAAAAGGGCTGGGAGGTCTGGTGATGTGACTCAATGGTTAAGTGTCCCTGGGTTCAATTCCCAGTACTACTACTACTACTACTACTACTACTACTAATAATAATAATAATAATAATAATAATAATAATAAAGGTTGGGAATGTAGCTCAGTATTAAACTATCTCTGGGTCAAATCCCCACTATCAATAATAATAATAGACAAACAAAAGTGAAAATTCACAAATTCATAGAAATTAAGTAACATACCATGTGTGTATATCATAAAATTTAATATTAAGATTTCAATGCTGGGGCTGGGGTTGTGGCTCAGCAGTAGAGTGCTTGCCTAGCTTGTGTGAAGCACTGCATTTGATCCTCAGCACCACATAAAAATAAATAAAATAAACGTATTGTGTCCAACTACAACTAAAAAGAAAATTTTTTTAAAGATATCAATGCAGGTGGGGGCTGTGGCTCAGAGGTAGAGTGTTCACCTACCATGCGTGAAGCACAGGGTTCAATCCCCAGCACCATATACAAATAAAATAAAGATACTGTGTCCACTTATAACTAAAAAATAATTTTAAAAAAAGATATCAACATAACTCAAAAATGATTTACAGATTCAATACAACCCCTATCAAAATCCCAATGATGTTTTTTGCAGAAATAGAAAAAAAAATCCTAAAATGTATAAGGAACCTCAGGGGACCTCAAATAGCAAAAATAACCTAGAAAAAGATAAATTTAGAGGACTCACACTTCCTGTTTTCAAAGTTACTACACCGCTACAGCAATCAGAACAGAGTGGTACTGGCAAAAAGACAGGTATATAGATGGACAGAGTAGAATGGGGAGCCTAGAAATAAACTCTCACAAACATAGTCAAATAAAATTATATATTTGTGCCAAGAATCTTCATTCAATGAGGAAAGAACAGTCTTTTCAATAAATGATGCTGGAAAAACTGGATATCTATATGCAAAAGAATTAAGTTGTATCCCTATCTAACATTAAATATAAAAAGTAACTCAGAAGAAAAAGGGCTAGGGATGTAGTCCAGTGGTAGAACACTTGCATGGCATGTACAAAGCCCTAGGTTTGATTCCCAACACTGCAAAAAGAAAAAAAAATTTTAATTAACTCAAAATGGATCAAAGACCAAAATATAAGACTCAAAACTATAAAACCCTAAGAAAAAAAAGCAAAAGCTTCATAACATTGGATTTGGCAATAATTTCTTGGGTATGACACCAAAGGCACAAGCAACAAAAGAATAACAGACTGGACTTTATACAAATATTAAATTTATGTGCATCAAAAAACAATATAGAGGGGCTGGGGATGTGGCTCACGCGGTAGCGCGCTCGCCTGGCATGCGTGCAGCCTGGGTTCGATCCTCAGCACCACATACCAACAAAGATGTTGTGTCCACCAAAAACTAAAAAAAAAAATAAATAAATATTAAAATTCTCTCTCTCTCTCTCTCTCTCTCTCTCTCTCTCTTTCTCTTAAAAAAAAAAACAATATAGATTCTAGTTACTCACAAGGCTGAGGCAGGAGGATCATAAGTTCAAGGTCAGCATTGGCAATTTACCTATCTCAAAATAAAAAATAAAAAGGGCTGGAGATGTAGCTCAGTAGTAGAAAGTCCCTTGGTTCAATCCCTAATGTGGGAGGCAGGAGGAGAGGAGGGCTGGGTGTGTAGTTTAATGGTAGAGCACTTGTCTAGCATGCACAAGGCCCTGTATTCTATCTCTAGAACAATTCTCATTCCCCTCACCCCACAAATATAAAGAGTAAAAAAGCAAGCCATGAAATGGGAGAAAATATTTGCAAGTCATCTTTCTGCTAACGGATTAATATCTAGAATACATAGAGAACTCCTAAACTCAATAACCAAAAAAAAAAAAAAACAAGCTAATTTTTAAAAATTAACCAAAGAGACTTACTAGATACTTCTCCAAAGATATACAAATGGCCTCTAAGCTCACGAAAAGATGTTCAACATCTCTAATCATTAGGGAAGTAAGAATCAAAACTAAAGTGAGATACCACCCCACACCTACAACCTCACATCACTTTAGCCCTGGAATTTGTGTTGTAGACAGCCCTACCTCTTTCCTATCCTGTCCAAGACTTTCCCTGAATGGAAATCAAGGAGTATGTTTTCTGGATATTACAGAGCAGTGTGACTCCAGCTAAGATCTATGTCACACAGGTACAACAGGAGGGTTTGGTTAGAAACTTTCAAAAATGATCAAAGTGTTCAAAAGAGAAGGACTCTTGGGCTGAAGTTGTGGCTTAGCAGTAGAGCGATCACCTAGTATGTGCGAGGCCCTGGGTTCCATCCTCAGTACCACATAAAAATAAATAAATAAAATAAAGGTGTTGTGTCCAACTACAACTAAAAAATAAATATTAAAAAAAAAAGAGAAGGACTTCTGTTGACCTATATTTGCAGATGTAAGAAAAGCAGAGAATTTCAGGGAAGAGACCATATATCTCTTCCCCAGCCAGACATGGGGACAGATTTGACCCAAAAGAGAACATGATAGTGGATCATTTCAAGGCAAATGTGAGCAGGCTGCATTTCCAGGGCCTGTGCACAAGAGAAAGATACCATGAAGGGAGCCAGCCTAGAACAGGGCAAGGCTCACCAGAAGTTGATGCAAAGATCACAGTGGGCCAGAAATGAGGTCATTCCATTTGCCCAGAAAAGAATAAGGTCCAGAAAATTGGCTTTCCGGGCTGGGGTTGTGGCTCAGTGGTAGAGCGCTCGCCTAGCACATGTGAGGCCCTGGGTTCCATCCTCAGCACCACATAAAAATAAATAAATAAAATAAAGATATAAAAAAAAATTAGCTTTCCTCCTCCTGATCAGGGTACTCTAGGAAAACCAGAAAGCCCCTGCTCCTGCTCTGATCCCTGTGGAGAACTAGTAAGTACAAGAGGAAGATGGGCTTTGTCCCAGAAAATGGAGGCCTTAGGTGAGTGAGAAGTTCACGGTCTAGCCAAGGTGGTAAGTTCTCAGTGTACTCCAAGCCCTGCTTCAGCAAGTTTCTCCCTAATGCCTCATGATTCCTCTCAGATCTCACTGGTTCCCAAAGGTCCTATTGTCAGCTGGTCAGCCCACCTCCCAACACCTGCCTTGAGGTTTAAGGTTCAACAGTGACCTGGGAATGGGGCAGGATTATTAGTGAGAGAAAAGTCTTCAGGTCCCATAGTTATTATTCTCTGTGGTCTCTGCCAAATAGTAAGAAAAATCGTTTTCTTTCTTCTCCTCTCCCTCACTTCTCCCTCACCACTCCCTCTCCCTCTTCTTCTCTTTTCCTCTCCTCTCCTCTCTGTATACCGGGGACTGAACCCTGGGCTCACTTACCACTGAACTACATCCCCAACTCTTCTATTTTTTGAGACAAGATCTTGCTAAATTGCCCAGACTGGCATAGAACTTGTAATCCTCCTGCTTCAGCCTCCCAAATCGCTGGGATTATAGGCATCCTTAGTGAGAAGGATGATTTTCCATGAAAAACTTGAAATCACAACCATGTGTGGCTTCTTCTTGAATGGACCCTCCTGAGGCGCTGTAGAGGGGGCTGGGGAAAGGCAGAGGATGGAAAAAATGAAGAGAAAGGAAACTGAAGAGTTAGATAGAACAGATCTAACAGATCTACCAGGTGCAACCACAGGGCTGTGACATTTCATGAGCAGTGTCAAAACAACTGTAAAGCCCCTAAATGAGAAGTGCCCTAGAGAAATAAGCCATCCCACATCATGGTCACTGGGAAAGAATGGGGAGAGCCCACCCAGCCCGTGTTCCCAGGATACAAAGAGTCCAATATATCCAAATAAGTCTTCCCAAGAGAACTGAGAAAACAGGAAAGAGATCACCCACATAGGAACTCACCTTTAATCCCAGGTGCCCAGAGCTAGAAACCCCAGGTGCCTCAGGACACTACTAATCTCAGGGTTGGGGAGGATAAAGATGGTACTAGGGTGAGGAGCAAGGTGAGCAAGGGTCTGATGGGCAGCATATAATGCCTGTATCACAGGTAGCATAAAGATTAAAAGAGAGCATATTTGACCTCCTAGCACAGATGGTGATAAGAAGAGACACAAGATTAAGTCCCTTGTCTCCAACTCTGAACAATGCTCTAGATAACTCTTTCAGCCATAAAACAGAAGCTCAATTGATACAAAGCTAGTTATAGTCATTACACCTCCCATTTAGTGTAAACATTCAATAGTTTGCAGCAAAGGTATGTTTAATTTTGAGTTCTACCCCAGCTTCAGGAGGGTGTTTTATGATGCTAGTTTTCTTCTAACTCTTAAATATTCTGAATTCTGAAATTAATCTGATCTGAAGAGTTCAGAGAAAAGTCTGCAGATCTGTAGCAAGTCTGGCTCCTTTTCCTTTTTAAAATTGAGCATCTCTGCGAAAGAAAGAATAGAAGTATGAGAGAGATGGGCATGTGGATTAGCTTATAAACTGGACAGGGGACTGATGTGGGGTCCCCTGTGTGGATCTTGATGTCCAAGTCTCAGAATAGGAAAGATGAGAAACTGTGTATATCCAAACCCCTTTGTAAAAGCAGCGGGTGTAGATGAATTAAATGCTTCATATGAGGGAGGGAGAGAGGGAGGGAGAAAGAGAGGGAGAGAAGGAGAGAGGGAGAGAGTAGACAGGCAGGCCAAGCCAAGGAGAGGAAAGGAGAGGAGATATCTTTGAAGAACAGCAAGTCTGAGAGTTTCCCTCAGCTTGCGGAAAGGGGGGGAGGAGGTTGAGGTTGCTGCTATGAGAAAAGAAAAAACCAACCACAGTAGAGCTTTTATTGCCATCAAAGGTTGGCTTGGTACCTGAAGCAGGGAAACTCAAGAGAGAAACTGTAGCCACTGCCCAGCAGGTACAAAGATGAGGCACCTGTACTCAGTGGTCAGCAACGAGAACACAAAAAGATATCTCTGGGCAGGAGCCATGGCATGGCCACCCCCCTGCTGGCTCTTCATTTTGGGGACCCTAGCAGGGATCTCAGCTACTCCAGCCCCTGGAAGGTGTCCAGAGAAGCACTACTGGGCTCAGGGAGGACTATGCTGTCAAATGTGTGAGCCAGGTAAGAGCAGCCCTCGGCAGTGGCCAGGTAAGTGGGAAAATGGGACTGGGTTTAAGATGATGGGAAGCACTGGACAAAACTGAGCTCAAGCAATGAGAGGTATCCTGCAGTAAACTGCAGGTGTTAACTTGAAGAGGAAGAGAAATGACCTTCATTAGGCCTTGATCCTGAACCTTCTGCTCTCAGGAACATTCCTTGTGAAGGATTGTGACCAGCACAGAAAGGCTGCTCAGTGTGATCCATGTATACCAGGGGTCTCCTTCTCTCCAGACCACCACACCCGGCCCCATTGTGAGAGCTGTCGGCACTGTAACTTTGGTGAGATGGGTAAGGGTATGCAGGGAGTGACATGGAGCGAGCATTTGGGGGAGCGAGGCCGAAGGGCAGAGCTGGGTATGGAGAAATAAGGAGAACCGGAGTCAGAATTTCATCTACTTCAAGGCACAAAGGAAATGGGGTCAATGCTGAAAAATGGGGAGCCCTAGGCAGGGTATATATTAATGTGAGGAGATATCTAGTATTCCAGGGAAGAAGGTAAGCAGAATTTGAAGGACTGGCAAGAAGGGATCTATGGATAGGATCGATAAAATAATAGAGGAATGAGTTTGAGGCCAGCCTGGGAAACATAGTGAGATGCTATCTTTAAAAAAAAAAAGAAAGAAAGAAAAGAAAAGAAAAGAAAGGAAAAAGAAAAAAAGAAAAGAAAGACATATAAAAAAAAGAACAAAGTGGCTCTAGAACCCCAGATTTCAACAGGAAACTCCCAACTAGTGAATTAGCTGTGTTCTCAGAGTGCGTATTTGTAGGTTGGTTATTTAGAACTTGAAATGTGTCTTTCTGAGGAAATAACAATATAAGCCAGACAGCAACATTTTTGTACGAAAAATATTTAGGAAAACTCACTTAAAAATTAAGATATAATATATGCAACTATGCTTATGAACTGTATTATTATTTTTCCTTCTTCGTTAGAAATCCAGATACTATGTGTCCATAAACACTAGAATAGCAGACTTTAAAGTTGCCCCTTTAAACTAATGTTCTTCAGCAAGACACTTTACTACTTAACTGTCACTACTAAACTACTTAACTATCAAATGTATTTGGTCTCACTAGGTCTTTTAATACTATATTCTTAAAAAAAAAATAAGTTTTGCCATTGTAAATCAGTCAAAGAGCAACATTCTATAGCTCTGTGGTAGAGTGCTTGCCTAGCATGAACAAGGCCCTAGGTGAAATCTCCAGAATCACATTAAAAAAAAAAAAAGCAACATTTTTAATACACAAAATATTCCTCAGTCAATTTAAAAATATGACTGTTAATAGATGCTTTTCTCTCCTTGCCAGCAGCCTCAGCAGGGTTGAAATTTTTTTTGTCAGAGCCTACCCCACTCACTCTGTAGGCCCCAACAGAGGCATTTTCTAAATATTGAGCTGATCTTCGGTCCCTTTACTTTGCTGCAGGATGGCTCAATCCATGATCCTTCACTGTAAGACATAGTTTATAGATTCCACAGTACTCAGGCAACACCCAGGTACAGAGAGACTACATCCAGAATAAGTGATCGGAAGGAGGCTGAGTGAGTCTGGCCTTCTCTGGATCTCAGTGTTTGCACCTGTAAGATGAGGAAGTGCCTGAAATTAGCCTGGATTTTTCTTCCCCCATAGATTAGACATGGTAAATAGAACCCCCAACTCTCTGGATACTCATCAATGAAAATAATGGCACTTCTGCCAGATGCAGTGGATTCCTCCCGTAATCCCAGTGTCTCAGGAGACTGAGGCAGGAAGATCACAAGTTTGAGGCCGGCCTTGACAATTTAGCAAGACCCTAAGCAACTTAGCAAGAACCTGTCTCAGAATAAAAAATAAAAAGGGCTCGGAATGTAGCTCAGTGGTAAAGTACCCCTGGGTTCAACCTCAGGGGTAAAAAGAAAAAACAATGGTACCTCATCCATTTATAAGCAGCCTCAAACCATTCTTTAAATCTTTCCTTTCCCTTTGAGCAGATGTCCTCATGGTCCCCACAATGACCACCACCACTGTCCTCCCCTCATCACTGACCTAGGCTGCTCTTACTCTTCCCTTGCAGATCTTTGAACAGGCTGGCTCACAATTCCTGGTAAGCCACAAGGAAACCAAATTCTAGTAGCAATTCACAGCCAGAATTCTGAAAAGAGGTCATAGGACCATAAAGATGAGAAGAAGGAATGTCTCTCTCTTTCTACCCTGACAAAAAGCATAAGCAAAAGAAAACTGTTAGAGTTGACAGAGTCGTTGGCATCCTCCCTTTCTGCACTCCTCTTTCATCTGTCAGGGTTCCTAGGACTACCCAGGTCCCCACAAGTGTGCTGCTCCAGGGTCCTCACCAGGCCCCTCGACCAAGCCTAATACACTTCCAAATGTTGTGGTCTTCCTCCAAATCACCGCCTCCCTCTCAACCACAAATACTTGCAAGCCCAGCCCAGGGCAAAACTGCCCATCCATGGTATAGCTGAGTAGCAGCCACCAACACTTGACCCCTACACTCAAGCAAAATTTATATTTTTAAAGGCAAAGGATGTCTGTAATCAAGTAATTCTCTAGTAAAGTTAAAAACATATCAGGGACTGGGCACAGTGGTGCACACCTGTAATCCCAGTGGCTCTGCAGGCTCAGGCAGGAGGATTGTGAGTTCAAAGCCAGCCTCAGCAACTTAGCAAGGTCCTAAGCAACTCAGCGAGACCCTGTCTATAAATAAAATATAAAAAGGGCTGAGGATGTGACTCAGTGGTTAAGTGCCTCTGGGTTCAATTAATATAAATACATATTTATATTAATAAATATATATAAGTACTATTACTAATTGCTAAATACTGGAAACCCTCCAAATTACCTTCTGCTAATTGTACAATGGATGAATAAATGATGACATTCATAAAATGGAGTAATATACAACAATAAGAATGAATGATCTGCAACATGGATGAATTTCATGTAGGACTGAGCAAAAGAAGCCACACAGAAATGAGTCCAGATTGCATGATTCCACCCATACAGTACAAAAACAGGCACAACTGATTTGTGGTATTAGGAAGTCAGGAGAACAGCTAGCATTGGGGGGTTAGTGATTAGAAAAGAACAGTGCTAGTCATTTTCTGTTTCTTGACATGCTGCTGGTCACACCTATAGATCTAATTTGCACTGTTTAAGATTCATACTTATGATGTGTGTCCCTGTCTATGTTATACTTCAATAAAAAGTTATTAAAGTATTAGTGAGCACAAGAGAAAATTATGTAGGTTCCTTCTGCTTTCATTGTTTCTATTTCTGAGCCTATGAATTTCCAAAATGTCCAACTTTCTTCTTTAATAAAAATAATAATAATAGTAAAGAAACTAGACCATATTGAGGGAAGGCTAGGCCCTTGTCGGGGGTAGATGAAACAGTGGGAATGGAAAGGGATTCATGTCCCTAGAGGTGGGCCTGAGATGGGAGTCAGGGGTATTAAGCTAGTGTACCCCACAAGTTATCTGTATGTCCTTTGTTCCCCCAACCCTCCTCTTTCCCCAGGTCTTCTCCTTAGTAACTGCACCGTCACTGCCAATACAGAGTGTGGCTGCCCCAAGGACTGGCAGTGCAGGGACAAAGAGTGTACAGAGTGTGATCCTTCTTCACACCCCTCTCTGACCATTCATCCATCTGAAGCCCTGGGCCCATACCCACCACCCACCCACTTACCTTATACCAAAAGTAAGTTCCAGGCCACCCTTTGTCCAGTCACTTGAGGGTAGGGGAGACACCCCAACCAGCACTCCCCTCTACTGCACCAACCCCCAGACAAGCTCCTCCTGGCCAGCCTGTACAGCCTTCCCATCTCATCCTGTGGCGGCATCGTGCCATAGGCCTTCAAACCCAAGTGCCCTCTGGGGTTCCCTGCTGCTACTCATTCTGTCTCGGTTTTTTCCAGAGATGCCAGAGACGGGGACAGTCAATCATGTGCAGACTCCGGCTGATTTCAGGCAGCTGCCTGACCCAACTCTCCCCACCCACTTGCCACGTGAGTTTTCACCCTAATCCCCACCCCCAGAGAGAATGCTTACTGGAGAGGCCAGGAGGGAAGCCAGCCCGGAAGTTCCTAGGACTAAGGATGACAAAAGGAGGGGTAAGCAGAGTCTCTCAATTAGAAGAGGACTGGTCTCCTGGGGCAAGGGGATAGAAAGTAGGGAAAGGAGAAAGTCAGGGGTAACAGGAAGCCTGGGTTGAGGACTGAGGGGCTAGACCACCTCACCCCCCAAAACTATATGACCCTGCCTTTCACAGCTCAAAGGTCCCTGTGTAACTCAGACTGTATCCGTGTCTTTGTGATCTTCTCTGGAATGTTTCTTGTTTTCGCCCTGGGAGGAGCCCTGTTCCTCCAACAAAGAAAATATGGATCAAGTAAGAGACAGAATATCAGCCTCCAGTTCTGCCCCTGTACCCACACCCATCTTAGCCCAGCTGTCCATGCCTTGAACCTCACCGAAACCTCCCCAACCCCATCTGCACGAACCTGGCTCCTAACTCTTTCCTCTTCACTGGCACCTTCCTGGCAGCCCTCCCCAAGCTGACCCTCCCTTGCTTATCTCTTTTTTCCCTCACTCCCTTGCCCCACTGCTATCCAAGCCTCTCTTCTAATTCTTCTTCTGCAGACAAAAATGAAAGCCCACTGGAGCCTGCTGAGTCTTGCTCTTATAGCTGCCCCAGGGAGGAGGAGGGCAGCACCATACCCATCCAAGAGGACTACCGAAAACCAGAGCCTGCTTCCTACCCTTGAGCCAGCGTTGGGTGGGGGTGGAGGGCGGAGGGGAAGGTCATGGTCGAAATAAAGCTCTAACCTCCTTTTCACCTCACTGGCTGTCCAGAGAGCCAGACCTGGCAGTCCTTACTTCAGTACCATCCTCTTATCGGGATCCTTTCCTATGTACACTTGACAAAGTACCTTGCTGAGACTGGTACGAATTGAGACTGAATGAACAGGAGATTGATTAAGCAAGCTTGGCCCAGGTACTACGGGAGGGCCCAAGCTTTAGCTGTAAAACACACTTCTGTCTGCAAAAGCCCCACACGCTATAGCCCTGACCCCCAAAATGGGCAAAATAAAAATGACAGACTCCCACGTTGCTGCTCTCAGCTTTCTCTCTGAAATTCCAATTCCACAACCAAGGCCAGTCCCAGGCTCATCTGTCAAATCAGGGATCTGAGGGGGAGGGAGCTTTCTTCAGTGCAGCCTGCTGTGTAGTGTGTGGCCAGTCTGAGCGTGGTGGGGCCACAGTGGGTGTGGCACAGATAGGCTACAGTGGAGCTGGCTTCTGGTTCCATCGCCCCTCCCCGTTTCCACAGTTAGAGCTCCACTTTCTTAAGTCAGATGGGAAGCAAAAGAGTACAGTGATGCCAGATCTTGAAATCACCTGGGTTTTTTGGGGGGTGTGGGTGGAGAAAGGAGAACAGCCAGCAGAGCTCCGGCAGCTGCTACAAATGGCTTCACCTAGAGGTAAAGTCAGTCACGGTGACACTTCCTCTAAGTGAAAGCGAAAGAGAAGTGTAGAAGAAACACACGGGCAGGAGCGGGCGATTGGCCAAGCAAGGGGTACTTGGAGAACCCCTCTTCTTCAGCCCAGGCTTGCAAGCGGGAGAGGGGTGGGGGGTGGGGAGGCAGTGAGAAAGGCAGTAGGCGAAGAGGGGCCTGAGAGCAGCCTCCATGAACATGGAGGCGGGGTGGTGTCTGCTGCTCTGCTTGGCTCTGTCCGGATCAGCAAGAACCGGTGAGTTGGGAGCACTAGCTCAGGGAAACGCTGGGCCCAGGTAGCCACAAGATTCTAGAAGGGTAAAGAGGCCAGGAATTGTTTCCTATCACTTTCTAAGCCAAATAGTTTAAAGGCTTAGCAGCTGACATCAATTATATGGAAGGGAGAAGGGGGAGGAGCAGAGAACTCAGCTGGGAAAAGGGTAAAGAAAAAGTGGAAGTGTCAGGAGAGCCACTGTTCTTTGGAGAGAGTGCACTGGCCTGGAAGCTGACACTTTAGAGGAGGAAGGGGGTTCCCTGGGCTAGGAAATCACTTGGGAGGTGATCACTGGTGGGGGAGGGGAAGTCACACTAATGACGGAAAGCAGAGCAGACTCAGAAGGCTGCTTGGAAAACTTTAGAGGTTGGCTGGTATTACCCCTAGCAACAGCGACTGACCCAGCTCTTTCTGTTGGCAGTATTTGCTCATTGATTTGTTTCTGCTAAGAATCTCTTTGAGGGAAGACAGTCTTTCATTTCATAGTTAGAAATAAGAGTAAAAATATAAACCCCTCTAAGCAAGGCAGATCCAGGACTTGAAATAATTCACACCAGAAAGTATTTACCTAGAGTAGCAGGTGCCTCCCAGAAACCTGGTTTTGTATATGATGTAAGAATACAGACAGCTAGGACCTGAAGACAATTTTTACCCCTTGATAAGTCCATAGTTTGGGGGATGGGCATGAGAAACAAGTGTGGAATGACTTTCTGGGCAAGAGGGTTCTCACCCTAGCTTTTTCTCTGCAGAACCCCATGCAACAGAAAGGCAATGGCAGGCAGTGGACGTTATCTTAGACTGCTTCTTGGTGATGGAAGGTGGGCACCAAAGGGCTTTTGCCAGCAGTGGGAATAGGGAGAAGGCCTTGCTTGTGCTGAAGCAGGTGCCAGTGCTGGATGATGGCTCCCTGGAAGGCTTCACTGATTTCCAAAATGGTGCAGTGGACAAAGATGACCAACCTGTTATATTTGAGGCCTCAGGTAAAAGCCCTCCTTCCACCGTGTGTTCTTGGCCCTGCTGGGGCAGCCCCCCTGGCGCAGCCCAGTTTCTGATTATACTCCTATACATGCTTCCCATTAGCCTTTGTATTATCCAGCCAAACTGACCTGTGTGCTACCCTTCTCCCCAGTGGACCTGGTACAGATTCCCCAGGCCGAGGCCTTGCTCCATGCTGACTGCAATGGGAAAGAGATGACCTGTGAAATTTCCCGCTATTTTCTCCAAGTCAGACAGGAAGCCACTGTTGAGAAGGCAGCTTGGTTCATCATCAACGTGCAAATATCTAGAGGGGGACCCAGTGTCTCCATGGTAATGAAAACTCTTGGGGATGGTGAGAATGGAGCTGTCTGGCAACCTATGCTGAATCTACCCCAAAGCCTCCAGGGGACTGTGAGAACTGCAGGTAAGAAAATGAAACACAAGAGGAACTGGGGATATAGCTCAGTTGGCAAAATGCTTACACAAGACCCTGGGTTCAATCCCCAGAACCACCCCCCCACCAAAAAAAAAGAAAGAAAAGAAAATACAAGAGGCACAAAGGAAGTTTTGCTTTTTTAAAGTGGCGAGTGATGGGAAGATAGAAGGAAGAGAACAAGTCCACTTCCACCTCCCATGTCAGCATCTCAGGGTACCTCCTAGTTCCTGGCGGTCCTTTCTTTCTAAAAACTCATGGGTCCCTAGGAGAATGCTGGGAGGCACCTACTTGTTGAGTCCAAGCACTAATAAAACCTACGTACTATCTCAAAACTGGAGACAATTTTTATCTGTGGGGAAACAGGACACATGAGACTATTCTATTCATGTATACTGTCCATTTCATATTAAGTCATATTAAGAATAGCCCCAGGATGGGGTTGTGGTTTCAGTGGAAGAGCGCTCATCTGGCATGTGTGTGGCACTGGGTTCAATCATCAGCACCACATAATAAATAAATAAATAAAAGTATTATGTCCATCTACAACTAAAAAAAAAAAAAAAAAATAGCCTCAGTTTCCTCCAGTGAAAATCTAGGCTGATCTAGTGCTTCAAGATAATTATAACAACTCTGGAGGCTGAGGCAGAAGAGTTACAAATTTAGCGAAATCCTGTCTCAGAAAATAAAAAGGTTTGGGGCAGGGTGCAGTGGTAGATGCCTATAGCAACTCAGGTGGCTGAGGCAGGAGGATCACAAAGTTCCCGGCCAGTGTAGGCAACTTAGTGAGGCGCTAAGCATGTTAGCAAAACTGTTTCAAAATAAAAAGGGCTGGGGATATAGGTCAGGGGTAAAAGATCCTAGTCTTCATAGCAACCTCACTTAAACAGATGAGCTTATTAATACTGAGGGACTGATAACTAGTACATGGAAGAACCAGATTTCCACAGGTTTATTGTTGTTGTTGGAGTTTTTGTGTGGTTTTTTTGTTTGCTTGTTTGTTTGTTCTACTCTGATCATTCTTACCTGAAAGTCAACAGCAACTCATAATTTTGCATGTACATTTTTTTTCTGGTGAGAGGTCCATAGCTTTCATCAGATCACCTAAAGTGTGACACCAAAATGGTTCAGAACTCCATGTATACCATGTTGCCAATTCCAGAGTCCCATTTTTGGTTATTTTTGATGGGAAAGGAGCTCAAGTGGATTCATTGCCCAGGGCAGGATGGGGCAGATGTATGTCCACAACTCATAGACCAGGTAACCTCAAGGAGGAAGCAATCCACAAGTCATCTCCTTTTCTCTCCACAGTGGAATTCCAGGTGACAACACTGACCCAATCCCTGAATTTCCTGCTGGGATCCTCAGCCTCCCTTCACTGTGGCTTTTCCATGGCTCCAAGCCTGGATCTCATCAGCGTGGAGTGGCGGTTGCAGTATAAGGGCAGTGGCCAGCTGGTGTACAGTTGGATGACAGGGCAGGGGCAGGCTAAGCGGCAGGGTGCTACCCTGAAGCCTGAGGAACTACTTATGGCCGGGGATGCCTCTCTCACCCTCCCCAGCCTCTCTCTAAAAGATGAGGGGACCTACATTTGCCAGATCACTACCTCTCAGTACCAAGCTCAACAAATCATCCAGCTCAATATCCAAGGTAAGGCTAGGACCCAGTTATCCTAGACAGAGGAATATGCCTCTAGGGAGTGTTTTCCACATTGAGATGCAAACACAAAGGCAATTTCCTGAGAGGCAGACTGTATTACTACAACCTAATGCTGCCTTCAACCTATAAGCACAGATGGCACCGGATAAGGTATCCCACTAGACTCCAAGATAAATCCAGCAAGAAATATCCAGCCCAGGATCCCGCTCCCCTGCCCTGGTGGGCCATCTACAATCACCCTGGTCCTTTTGGACCATATCCTAAGGAGGGGCACTAGCAAACTAAGGAGGGGTGGAGGGAATGGTTCTGACCAGGAAAGAGCACTTGCCTAGCACTGTGAGGCCCTGGGTTCAATCACTAAAAAAAAAGAAGGAAGCCAGCCAGCCAAATTTTAATTGGCTTTACTATTGCTTTCTAGAAAATGTGCCCCCTTATGGCCTACATTCAGGTGGACTCCTCAAGCCCCACCCCCCCACCTTGGAATACCACTGAGGAAGAAACTTCTGCCTCTACTACCTACTCTCATTCTCAACAGGAACAAAAAGGCTTCAGGTTCCTCTTCTGGCCCCAGTTGGACTCCTCTGGAATCTTATTCCTCATTGTTTCCTCAGCTTCCCCCAAAATTCGACTGAGCTTGGCAAATGAAGTGCTGCCACCCACTCTCATCTGCAATGTCGCTGGCTATTATCCTCTGGACGTGGTGGTGACGTGGATCCGAGAGGAGCTGGGTGGAGCCCCAGCTGAGGTGTCTGGTGCCTTCTTTTCCAGCCTCAGGCAAAGCATGGCTGGCACCTATAGCATCTCCTCGTCCCTGATGGCTGAACCTGGCCCTGAAGGCGCCACTTATACCTGCCAGGTCACTCACATCTCCCTGGAGGAGCCCCTTAAGGCCAGCATCATGGTTGTCCCACACACAGGTACTAAGGGTATCCTCTTTTCCCCACTACCACACTTGGGCTCATGGCTTTCCTGCCCCTATGCTTTGTTCCATCCCAGCTTTTTCACACTCCTGCCTCTGCCCCAGGCTTTGTCTTTCCTAAGGTAGTAGCCTCTACAGCTTCCACCACACATCACCTGGGATTTCGTTCCTTCTCAGCCTCCAGGGAACCAGGCAATGTGCTTGGATTGCAGATCAAGGTTGAAGGATTCCTGATCCTGCCCTCTAGAAGCTTAGTACAGCTGGAGAGACAAGACTAGGTAGACTGGGAAGATGAGCCGGAGAAGACACTTGAGCCCAGTCAGCTAGCTTAAGGGGAAGAGAACACACAAGACAGAGAGAATGGTACATGTGAAGATACAATTATAAAACATCCTACTGAAAACTTTGGGAACTGTAAGTAGTTTAGTACAGCCAGAGCCAAAGGTATATGGGAAAAGGGGGAAATGGCTGTGAAACTAGAGGGAATTCTATTTATTGAGCATTTACATGAATCAAACACTGTGTGAAGCACTTAAATTTTAAGTATGACCTCATGTATTATAACTGTTGTTTTATTGACTTATTTATTTATTGAAATGGGATCTCACTATGTTGCCCAGGCTGGCCTGGAACTCCTGGGCTTAAGTGATCCTCCTGCCACCATGCCCAGCTCAACACCCATTTTACAGATATGTAAGCTGGCAATTGCAGATGTTATTTTCCCAATGTCACCTATTAATAAAAACGTGAAAAACAGGCAGGCTGACTCCCCTTATAGACTTACACCTTACAATCTCCATGGTCCTTTAAACTGGAATTTCATCCTGAAAGTCACAGAATGTTGGTGAAAAGTCTTAAACAGATAAGGGACAGGAAAGAATCTACACCTTGAAACACAAACATTAAGAGCATGGGACATTATTTGATTGCTTACTAGATTATGGGCTTCCCAAAAAACTGGGGTCTCATCCCAGTTCATGCCATTTCTCAGCTATTTACAAAATCTCAGTTTAACAGTCAATGACTAACCTAAATCTCCCTCACAAAATAACAACTTTTTAAATGTTGCACTGAGGTAGAAAGAGGAAGAGAATTCTGTGTGGAGTAACACGTAAACACCAGACAATACTGAACAAATACAGAAGCTGCTGCACGCACAATTTCCAGCTCTTTCATTGGAGAGTAACAAACACACACACCTGTGCTTCTCTTCCCTGGCGGGGATAATGGCAGCAAGGGCTCAGCACAAGAGATTTATTCCTGCCCATATTCTCTCACCTACAGAGCAGAGAATGGCCTTTGAAATCATCTTGGCCAGTAGTCTTTTCCTTCTTGCACTACTGTTCCTGGGGCTTCAGAGACAGCAAGGTAAGTGCCTGGTCCCCCTCAGCTCTGGTCCCTGACCCAACCTGCTTGTAATCAACCCACTCTGAGCACCTCCCCACCTAGACCAGGGGTGGAGCCCAGACTTTCTGAATTCCAGCTGCCTCTCCCACCTCAGATAGCCTCCTGCTTTTGGTAACTAATCTTGTTCCTTCTGTTTTCTCCTAGCTTCCTCACCAAAGTCTGCCAAGACTCTGAAGCATTCTGAGTAAATACTCTTTTGCCCCAATTATAAAGATGGAGTAGTCATATTGTCTCAGAAGGACCTCACAATGAATCACAAAGCAGAGAAAAGCCTGAAGGGGGATCCAGGTCTGGAGGTAGGAGGACAGACAGGACAGGTAGTGACCTTGGCTCTACACAGGGCTCTGCCTTCCTTTACTGTGTGCCCCGGGCTGATGTGTCAAGAGAAACAACAGAAAGAAGGGAGGAAGAATGTTTGTGTGGAGGTTAACACCAAAGGGCCATATTTGAGTTGAGGTGGTAGGAAAGAAAAATAGGAATAGAGAAAGGAGCAAGTAAGGGACAATGGAATAAGGGGGTGGGGGTTGGGCCGCCACACACAATTTCGAATTGTCAAAAATAAAAGCCCTTTGTGACCACCGAGACAAAGCTTTTCCATTTTCCTGTCTTTCTCTGAGTTGGTCCCAGTTAAGCCCTGTCCCCAAAACTACTCCAACTTGCAAAATATTTAAAGGTGTGAAACAAAGGCTTCATCTCTGCTGCTTTGTGTTAGTAACCCTGAACTGCAACTAAGGTTTTGATCTTTCAGACAATTGCCAGGAATTTCAGAATACCTACAAACTCTCACTCCATCAGCTGTGGGGAAGTGATTTTTCCTGTTGTTCATTGCTACAATGTGTCTGATCAGTACAATGGAACTCAGCAAAAGAAAACTGCATGAGGATAATGGGAGGAGAAGGAATATGGTGGAGGTCATATGTGAACATGTCCCCAGGGATAGGAAAGGCAGGCCAGGGACTAGGAAGGAGGCAGATGGGGAGGCCCAAAACCCGTAGTTGTTTGCCAGCGTGATGTGCCTACTCAACTTCCTGTTGTCACTTCCTCTCACCAGCACCTGCAAGAGTCAAGCTGTTTTAGGTATTAAATGCTAAGAGCACAGACCACTTCCTCTGCCAACACACAAACCTTTAATCTCCATGAAAACCATTCAAACACATATGCTGCCCTTTGTCCTTTAGCAACATCAGACTGGTAGAAAGAAATGACACCCCCACCCCACCAGTTATTCCAACCCAAACAACAACCAAGCCAGTTTAGTGGTAGGAATTAGTTATATTTTTTGCCTTTGTTCAGAATACATGAAATTGGTAAATATGCCACATGCCTTTGGTGAAGTACAACTGTTATTACTCTATACAAGTATGAGATTGGGGTTTGGAAAAAAGACAAAGAGGTAATGACAGACACACAGTGGAAACCCCACATCATCTCATGGCAAACTGAAGAAAGGGATGTGGGAAACTCGGCTTCATTTGACTGCAGAGTCCCAGGGTTTAGTTGCATATTTGCTCATGCACATGGGTGGTGGGAGGGAAGTGGGAGAGCAAAGACACAGAAGAGGATTCAGGGTGGGATGAGAAAGAAAGAAGGGATATTACCCCCAAAAGAGCAAAGCCAACTATACTTGGTGAGCCTTAAGAGGGACAGAAACCCAGAAAATAATTCCCATGATAGGGTTGGGTAGGCCAAGAGGGCGAATTTGCTCCAGGCTTGGGGACACATCTTGGACAGTGGTGGTTCTTCTCCAGCGGTGACCCCCTGAATTAGGCAAGGAGGAGCCCAGAGGAGAGTGGAGACCTTCGAGGGGGACGCTGGGAGGGTACACTGACTGCTTTCTTCCAGCTCTTCAGTCCTGCCCTAGGCAGGACGAAGGAAATATGGGAAAGGGGGCAAAAAGAAAGGAAGTATGGTTTTGCACAATGAAATGCTGCTGCATGGAAAGCGGGCATTCAGACCCAGCCCAGCATGGCCTCAGACTCTTTCTGATTGTGGACCAGAGGACAGAGGGAAACACTGCTATGGGTCTTCCCCTTCCTGTTCCCAGCCTTCCCTCCTCCCCTAGCACCTCAGTTTTATCCCATGTAACATGCTATCCTGAAGTTCAGCAGTAGTCCCCAAGATAGGCTAAGCAGCTCCCATCCTCAGGTTCCAATGTCTATGCACACAAAGCAAGCAAAGAGGAGAAAGGAAGCAATGTGGGATTCAGATGGGTGAGGGCAGTTCAGAAGGGGAGCATACTGCAGAAAGAACAGAGAGGTGGCTCCAGACGCAAGGAGCCCATGATAGTATAACAATATAAAAATACACCTGTCACAGACTCTCAACCCTCCCACTCCAAGACTGAGTTAGTGGATCTACTGGACTTCTCTAAATCTTTATAATCAACCAGGGCTCACAGGGATGGTGTGGAGAAAAGAATTCTATGGGAGTCTAGGACCTTACCTCTAGCAGCCTCACATTTCTTTATCAACAGGAAGGGAGAAACGGGACCTTCTTTAAAGAGAGGGCAAGAAGTGGCTTCCTGAAAGCCTGTTATTCTCAAATTAGGCCCTTGACTTACTGTTTCTCTATAACAGGTATTCTCTCTTTATTCCAGTAATTAAAATTAATCACAAGCACCAAACTCTGGCTAGTTGCAATTATTTGATGCCCTCATGAACAATATAGAATGCTGCAGAAAACATCAAAGAGAGACAGCTCCTTCCAGTTAGAAGCAAATAGGTCTGCTTCTAGGATGGAAATGAGAGTCTCCTGGTAGTTTTGTAATCAACAAGTGCTTGTTTTCCAGGCTAATAGGGAACAAAGTAAAAGACTATAAGATTCCTGAAAGACATAGAAAATCTTGGGCTGAAAGATTAGCAATAACTGCAAAAAACAGATTTGATTTCTAAAAGGGTACTGCACTAGGACCAGATTGGCCTTTGGACAGAACCCCAGGGCTCTCTAAAGGCCTGGCACAGGAGAAAAACTAGCAAGTGCAGCACTGAGCAAGCCACCACTTCCCAACTATTCATGGTCCCCTCCTGCCAGAGACCTGGCCTTTCTAGGAGACACTCATGGACACCAATACCCTTCTTCTCCCCGACAACCTTACCAGATTCTTGGGCACTTCACCTCAGTTATTCTCCCTCCCCTTGGCAGCCAACTCCTTTAGGGTATGGGGGAACATAAGAGTACATGAGAAGGGGAAAGGAAGGAGGCATCAGCTATTGATCTTTAGGTAGTGACTTCAAGACTGTACCACGAGCAGCATTTCTAGTATTGAGGGACAGAATGCAAATGAATGCAACAAAAAAGGAAGAATGGATGATGGAGAAGCCTGGGCTGGGATGGAGAAAGGCAGATGGGGAAGTTTGTTGAGAGAGCAAACAGAGGGAGAAGGACATGAGCTTGAATGGCAATGGAGAACAGGGAAGGGGTGGCACATTCTCAAGTAAAAAAGTAGACTGGACACAGGAATCAGGAAGTCCCAGATGGAGAAGAAAAAGAGACAGGAGAAAACAAGAGGGCAAATTACATCAAGTTACTAGATGTTCAAGTCTCTCAGTTGCAGGTGCCCCAGCCCCAAGCCAGTGACAAACAGCATAGCCCCACTTCCTCAGAACAGAAGGGGCCATCTCCCCACAATGCCTTATAAGGAGAAGGCTTGTCTATCAAGGAAATTCCTTGTCTTTACCCTTCCTCCCTCCCAAACCAGGTATGATCCCCAGCAGCAGTCTCCATACCTCAGTCAGAGCAGCCCCACTCCCCAGGCAGGCAGGCAGGCAGGCAGGGCTGGGAGAAGATTCCGGGACCTTCCCACCTCTTCACCCCATCAGCAACCTCAGCGATACTTACTTACAATAACTACCACGATGATGGCACAGATAGCTCCCAGCATGATCATCATCTGAAGAAACATGAACAAAACATGAGCCTTTGGACTTGGGGAAGAAGGAAAAAAGCTGGACCAGAGATTTGGGAACAGAATTTCCTCTATTCTTTGGGCAGTGGAAGAAACCACTCATCACCCAGACATGAGCATGCCTTTCAGGCCTAACCCTTTGCTTCCCATAGGATCATAATCCCACGACCATGTCTGTAGTTTTTCAGAAACAGCACAAAATCTGCAATTCACTCCTTTCTGGCTTAGTTCCTGTTGCCTGGGGGCTTTAAAGGGAATTCCAATGAAGAAGCAGGCTTTAGATCTTTATATTCAGTTAGTTTGGTTTTCATTGTGAAATGTGTAGTGCATTTCCAAAAATTTTCAGGAGTATTTACACCTGAATCACTGTGTTGCTGTTGGTTGTGTCAGAGAAACTTCCAGTTAAAATTTTTGCTTGAGACTCCTATGGGAAAAAGGTACTTAAATATTCTAAACGCCCCAGGGTAGCACTTTTACTTTCTCAGTAAGTGGTTCTGAATACTCTAGCCTACCCTGGTGGTCAATACATGTAACTCATCTCAAGGAGAAGGTATTCAGATTTTCCTCCTAAGAACCCTGCAAGGCAGAGACCTGGCACCAGCAGTAAGAGGGAATGTAGAAGCTGAGAGTTTTCTTGTTTTCTACAAGTGGAAGTACAAGAAAAGAAGGGAGAGAGGACAAGGAAATTCACCTTGCAGTTTTTCCACCAATACTTCCTCTTTAGCTTGGCAGCACTACTCTCAAATTGCGATGCTCCCGCCTGTAAGGCATCAGCTCGGTCATCCAGTTCTGATAGTTTCTGGTCCCTCTCCAGGACCTTGTCCACATTCACACGCATGATGTCCACCACCTAAGAGGAGTACAAAAACAAGGCTGCTAAGCTTCCCAATAGAGATAGGAGAAAGAACAACTTGGGACCCATCTAAGAGATGCTTTGCCTCTCAGGGTCTTTAACTAACCCCCTGTAAAAAACAAACAAACAAACAAAAAAAAAAAAAAAAAAACGAGAATGGACAAGAGGTTCCCTTCTGTTTCTAAACTTCTATGGTGGACAAGAGGTTCCCTTGTTTCTAAACTTCTATGATTTGGAAACTCTCAGAGATGGGAATCCACCTACCTCCTCCACCTGTGCCTGGGTTTGCTGTAGTCGTCTATTACTGGTCGTGTTAGGAGGAGGGCCAGGGGGAGCCCCACCAGGGGCAGTCCCTTCTGTCCCTTCAGTGGGTGGCTGAGCTGGAGCAGACCTGTGGAGAGAAGTGGAGAGAGTACACAAAATAACCAAGACAAGAAAGGAATCATGCATTCTCACCCAATTCCACCCGAGCAACTATGATTAGGTTATAGCAAATGGAAAGGATTCTAGCTCCTTGGCAATATCAAGTAGGGAGATGCAGCATACAGGCAAGGAACAAAAGATGAAAGAGCCAGTAACAATATTTAGATGTAACAACACAAAGAATACCATTAAGAGATCTTGTTTTGGGCTAACCTCTGACTCAAATTCAAGCCCATCTTCTGATACAATGGCTTCAGGGACAAATGTGCAAGCCTTGGCCTAACTGGCATTTCCCAGGTTGTCAAATGCCTTCACATGAAGACAAATGTAAAAAATCAATACAGAAGGAGACATTTGTAGAAAACACAAATCCCTCAGGATATGCAAAGTTTGAACATAAAGGAAAGGCAAGCTAACTCTGCTTATAGTGATCCAGTTATTGATTATGTTTCACATGGTGATTAGTATATCTGTGCTGCTACAAGGACAACTTGGAGTATCACCAAAGGCAAAGTCTGTGTAGGTAGAATGAGTCAGGATTGTTTGTTTGCATTGTTTTTGGCAGAGAAGATAGGGGTTTCATTTAGATTGAATCTGAGGCACAAAGCAATTGCATTAGATGTGGAAATTGTTCCAAGAGCATAGACAGGAAACAAAAATAATGCTAGAAATAGTTCTCGATGTACATGCACCACAGACACTCTGTACCTTCCTTTTGTAGATTTGGCAGAGTCTCAGGAGACTGGCCTAGTCTCCTGTGTCCCAAAAAGAAATCTTGGTTTATACTACCTTACCCATGGAAACTGTTTCTCTTTCATTACCAATTGAGGCTAAGACATACCTTAGCCTTTGGAGGGAATAATCCAATGAGGTCTTCAAGATAAACTTCTTACCCAGTCCCAACACATGGAGACTAAATTCACCTGCTAAGGAATTCTAAGTAGTCTAACCTAAAGATTGAGATTTTCTCTGCCAAGGAAAAAACCACAGGTGGGCAAAGATCTCTAAAATTTGAAGAAGAATACAAATTTCCATAGCTCATAGAGAGGGAGAATCTCAAAAAACATACCTCACCAGAGAAGTCCAAGAATAAATGCATCACAAAGTCACCAAAAAGGAAATTCCTTGATTAATCACAATAGAACTAATACCTAGAAGCTCCTCTTTCTTAACTGAATTTCTTTCAGTCTAAAAATAAAGACAGACAGTTAGAGAGGCTATACTAGCATATTATTCCTCATTTAAGGAATCATTTTTGTATTTCCCTCCAAGTCACAAAGAGGGCAAAGGAAAGAAAGATACAAAGCCCTGGGAGCCTTAAGACTCTATGCTGGTACTGAGATATTTAAGCAATCTGATTCTAGACTGAAGGCAGAAATTTCAATGAGTAAGTAGCAGCCAGTGTTGGAAGTAGTCCAGGATGGTGGCACCAATGACAAGATTAAGGTCAAAGACCTTGTGATTCCCTGGTAGCCACCATGCTTTCTCCATTCCTTCCTTTCATCCCACATGGATAATATCTAGAACCAGTCAGCTGAGAAGGATCCCCCCTCCCTAAAATGAAAATAATTGATGTCTTAGGGCTTGTCCAAAATGCACAGAATATTGTCTATAGTTAAAACTGTAGAAATCAAAGAGGAAAAACTGAAACGGCTATAGAGCCTTTGGGGGACTGACTTCACTTACTACTTGTTGGGAATTAAGTAGAATACTTAGCAATACCACATCCAGAAAGAGTTACAACTCTTATGTAATATAAGTAAATCTTTCCCTTTTTTAAGTCCCTATGAGAAGGAATACAAATACACCTGGGATTAGGACAGGACTCCAGGCAGTATCAGAAAAAAAAATTAAATTAAAACATATTGTGGTCCTGAGAGGGAAGAACTTAATTGGTCTAGCCATAGCTCTCCTTCAAGATCTTGGGAAGGGATGATGTTGAAGATGGTTGGAGACTAAACTCTGCATGTCAGAGAAAGAGAAGATTGTTCAGTTCTCCCTATTTCTCCTCCAAATACTTGGCTAGGACTTGGTGACAGAAAAGCATCTCCTATAAGGGTGGCCTTAGGATGAATGGCTGCATGGGATCACATGCCCCTTGGGTCTTTCTGAACTGCATGCACACCTGGGGCCAGGTGTGCATGCAGTTCAGAAAGAGGACTGGCAGATAAGTTTCTGGAGCTTTGATTATGGCCTTGAGGACGCGGTACATCTCACTTTGGGTGAGGGGCACACACAAATCCAGAGACCTCAGGCAATCCGAATTACTCACCGGCAGGTGCACCCATGACTGTGTTTCCAAACGCTCTAAGTACAGATTCAGACGACATGATAGGGTTTTCAAATTCCCTACCTTTCTCCATTCCCGCCTTCGCCCTCTCTGAGATTTCACTATACGGAGACTAGAATAAAGTGCCACTCAAAAGAGAAGAGAGGGTGCAATGAATGTGGGACCCCTGCCCCGCCCGTGGGGACTAGCTGTGGCTTATGCAGGAATGGGGGGCTGTCCCCCTCCGGGGGTGGGGGCGGTCTGGGGGCGGTGCGCGGTGGAGGTTCCAGCGTCGCTGCAGCTGCTGCAATGCGCCATTTTCAGTCCCGCAGAGTAGGGCGCTGGGGGTGAGAGTTGGCAAGGAAGTCTGGAGCCCCCTACAACAGAGTTAACTCACATTTTTCTGACAGGAGTGAGAGTCCAACTCCTCTCTGGAGGCTGCGGCGAGACACCCGGCGGAGAAACGCTGCGGCTGAATCGGACGGAACTGTGGAGCTCCGCCTCCCACTGACCACCCGGCGCTCTAGCTGCGGTGCAACTTACTGCAGCTGCCGCGCCGGACCCCGGCTTTATTAGTGCTGGCCACGCCTCCCGGATACCGTTAACAACCTCCAGTCCAATCCACGCCTAGAGTCGTCTCCAAGTGCAGCCGTTCTAATCCGCCCTGTCCCTTCAGATTTGCCAATCAAAACTCTCCCCTGGTACCGACTTCGAAAAGGAGCGGTTGCGGTCAGGATTTTCACTGACCAATACAACAGTAGTTTGCTTACCTGTCGGGCTCAGTAATAGGGCGGGGTGGAAATATGGTCCAGCCATCTGGAGGGCGGCCTTAACAGTTTGCGATAGGCCTTTTTGGTGCCTCCCAACCAATCGCTGACCTGGGTCTGGGCCGCTCCAGCCAATCAGGCCGCTCGCCCTGACAGTCGCGGGCCCGCCCAAGCTCGGAGCCCAGAAGCTGGAGTTCCTAAAGCGGGGGCGGGGGGGGGGGGGGGGGGGGGGAGGTTCAGCTGTGTGTGCACATCCTGGAGTCCAGACCTGCTCCGCGTTCCACCCCAGCCGCCGGCTTCTGACCAACAGCCCTGAAGTCGCAGAACGCAACAGACAGAGCCATCGGCTCCGGGAGCCAAATTCCGAGATTCAGTCAGACCAAATCTAATACGAAAGGCTTCGTTCTGCTTATCCAAATTGAACCGCCCCCCCCCCTCGCCTCCCAACTTTGCTTCTCTGCTTCCTCCAGGTAGGTTACCACGTCGATTTAATTGTGCAGACCGGAAACCTGAAGCCATCCTAGATTCCCTCCCTTTTCATATTAACCCCTCCTCCAAAGGAAATTCACCAAGTCAGTCATTTTTTTCCCTTAATGCTTAAAGAATTCTCTATTATCCCTTTCCTGGCCATCAATTATAAAACTCACCATTATGACTGTGTTTCTTACACTTAGAATTTTTTACACTTATTGAAAGTGTGGGTTCATATGCATATAGATTTTATCATATTTCACTAATGCTTACATAAAAAAATAGAAACTAATAAGATAAAGTTATCTACTTCACATAAACTTTTCTTTTTTTTTTT